TTGTAGCGAATATCCATTTCCATGTCAAAGAAAGGGGAGTCGCAGAACGCGTAATCGCCACAGACCAATGGTAGTTCAAAGGTGTTTAAGGGGCCGTAAATCAATATGATACAGAAAGGCTTATCATAGAAAGAGAAGATCATTTAGGTTAGCTGCTGGTTCCATTTTTACAGTGTGTCGCCTCTGCCTGACCTCTCTGCTCTGTCCCTGGAGAGTAAACAGGCTAATGACCTTCCCAAAGGGTCCACTCCATTCCTACAGATATACATCAAACACACTCCACTCACACACACAATTACCGTTGCCAGCTCCGCCGTCTGGACTGCCAAGAGCTGATCATGGTCTGCTTTTTAAAAGTTCCTCATGACTTTGGGTATTTCTAGTGTTTTTGTAAACACAGTGTTGGGTAATGTTTACCCATTGCTGTATATCACCAAATGTCTAGCTGATCAACATCACAGTATATGCAAATATAGATACTAGACTAGATGGTTTGGGAATGGCTGCTGTAAATCTTAATACAAACCACCAATTGCATTTAAGGTGCAGTTGTACTGACTTAATATGAAAAACTAATTTTTTACATTTTTGAGATATGCAGGTCAATGGTGATCATTTTTTGTTAATTTAAAAAGGAATGCATGCATACAATGACTTTGATACACCTATTCTAAGATTAACTGGGTTACAGTTTCTGCATTCAAATTCATTCTGATCATTTCTTGGGGCTTAAAGTAAAAAAAAAAGTGATGTACCTGTCTGTAGATAATTTATTAGTCTCATTTAAAGGATTAAAATATTTGAAGAATGTTTGGTCTTTTTGTAATAATTGAATTTATTATTATTTAATTAAAAAGCAGTATTGGTTTTATAATATAATTCATATTTGAAGAACTTTTAAATATTTGTAAAAATCCAGAGGTTTTTGTAAACTTCAGTTATGCCATTTAATCAAAGTAAATAAAAATAAAAAAATTCCCAAAAGACACATGAAACCAGCACGAGTACAAAGTTTACAGTTCTGATTGGTTGAACCATGTTTGAATCTGGTTTTGAGTCTGTCTCAATGGTTGACTAATTTGTTAGTCATCCAGCAACTGACCATCGTGGCACATCCCTATTTAAACATTGTTGAACATAGTTTATCCAACCAGAATTCAGAACTATTGGTTTAATAATACTCTTCAAACAGAAAGTAACCAGTAACTTGTTTTTCGAGGGTATCCCTACCATTAACCCAACCTCTGTTCCTAGAGCCAGAGCGGCTCTTAAAGAGATGACTGTTGCGAGTCTACCTATCGGACACAAAAGCTTTTGCAGGACTTGGGGGGCCGCTATGGGGAGGTGGGAGAATTGCTGAAAGGCTGTACTTTGTAGTTTGTATCACCTGATACCACAGAGCGCTCTCTGATAAGCTGAGATCTCTCTCTTCAGATTGAAGGCTCTGAATGGATTCCTACAATGGCACCATTGACCCTGTCAGTATGTGCCTGTGTCCCAGCCGATGAACGTGCAGAACTCTTTTCTTTGAGCGACTCTGGCCGTTTTCCATAGTCTGACCCGGGACAAGGCTATAGATGTTTTTCACTGTCTAATCCAGTGGTTCTCAACCTTTTTTTCCACTGGGCCGCACTATGGTCCAAGTGCAAGTCTCATGGGCCGCACGCATATCATTTACATATTATGTCACCAATACAAACCAACCAGATTTATAATATCTATTATAGCTTAAATCTTACCTATTATAGCCTAAATATTATGATATCTAATCGATTACATTCATTGAAATAAATAAATAAATAATTATACTCCCCATTAATAAAACACCTGATGCTGTCAGGAGCTGACCAATTTTGTGAAATTCGGCTCAAAAGGAGTAACAGCACCATGAAGTTGCGATTGTAAGTTGCAGTCTGTAAGACGTGCACAGAAGCGTGACTTGACACGCGACATGGCAGAAAATGTGCGTTCACAAATGTAGCCTATGTTGATCCAAATATGGAAAGCACTTTAGAATTTAATAATCTGAGGTTCTCTCCAGAGGTGTTTTGCCACATTTCTGCAATTAAGGATGATTGCTGCATATGTGTGTTTCCTTTTGCCTGAACTAGAACCTTGCATTTCAACCCGGGCCCAACGGTCCCCGACTTTTTTACGCCCCTAGGGCCGGGCTTCGGGACAATTTTCACATCATAGTTCAGACGCGGGCCGGGCATCGGGCTTGTTTTAGGCTTATCCTTATTTTAATATTTTAGACATCCATCAATTAGTGATGAAAAAAAATTTTTTGCCGCGCTGGTGGAAACAACATGAGACCGCGCTGCCGCAACTGTCAAGAGTGGCTCGACGGTGTTTAGTGTCCAGCTGCAGCAGCATGTATGCCGTCAGCGCAGCTGAACAGTTCTGCGTTCAAATGCACGCAATAGGCTAAAGCTTGCCGCAAAGCACCGGCAAAAGTAATTCCCATGAATGTGTCAGGGGGAAATAGTAAGGAGATATTTGAATTATTTACTAATAAACTAGTGTTTTCTGAGTCGGTGTCGCAAGGATGAAGTTGCCGATCCTGACTCACCATCTCCTCAGACGCGCCTTTAGAGAGAAGTGCATCTTTACGGATTATGATTATAATGTAAAACTTTTAACTTTATACATTTTTCTGTATTGCTTTATTGCATTTAAATGTTCAGTTATTTTTGTTATAAGAAAAAAGTTATTAAACCTGTTATATTGTATTATGACAGCACTTTTTTAAAACTAAATTTCAATACCGTGATAATACCGTATACCGTGATAAAAGCATTAGCAATTAATCGCAACATGAAAATTTGATACCGGCATATCCCTAGATATAGCGCACATTTATCTAGGTTTAATGTTAAAACATTGTTATATACTTGAACTGTTTTATATCTATAGATTTTATTTTATTTTAAGTCGTGATGATTTGAGAAGGCTAAATTGATCAAACATAGGCTATGATCAGCTCACTGTCTGCCGCTGGCCGCTTGGTCGTTACTTTAAAAAACAAAAACTTATATTTAAC